TTCTCTATTATCATTACTATTTTACAAATGTTTGATAATCAAATTTTTGTAAAATAGTAATGATAATAGAGAATAGTCTTTTTTTACTTGATTGATTCAAGAAAGAAAGTCTCAGGATGGGTCGACCTGTATTTCTGGATGCAAATCAATGAAATGACAAGTTATGTCCCATTGGTCCTTAGGTCAAGGTTTTGACCTTCAGGCCTAGTTCACTACAAGTGTACATCAGATTTTGGTTGACCTCATACACAGTAATTTGTGTTTAAATCATGGAAATGAAGCATTATAAATCAATATTAAAACCAGAATGCAGGTTTAAAATCTAAATTAGTCCAAATAAAATACTTTAAATCAAATTCCATTTCAATGTATCTAAATCTTTATGTAATGGTTTCTGGCATGACTCTAAAATAACTCAGTTTAATGACTGACCCGTTTACGCACAAACATCAGTCATTAACATCTGCTGAATGAAGCATCACTGCAGAACATAAATCCATCATCAGACAAGTTTCTGTTACTTTGTGTCTCACATCAGCATCAATGTCAAGGCAACGCTGCCACGAGTTATTTACTTTAACTGATCCCTGCAACGTTACCCAACGAAACAAACTGAATTCATGTCATAGAGCTGTAATTTACAGCCGTTTCATTCTTTTCATATCCTGTAGAATATAAGATATTTCAACAGAGCAATCAATCCTCCTTTCTTTGACTCTTTTGACTCCTAAACTGAACATGAGCTATACTCAGCCTAAACTTTAATAAGCTTAAATTAATAGTTAAGTTGACAAAATGTTGTTTATTTGTTTTCTTCCTTTGTCAGGGACGTATAAAACGCTCAAACTTCTGCCATCAGCAACAAGATGGAGTGTGATTTGTTGAGGGGAATTTATTTTATTTAAAAAAAAAATCATATTTCAAACTTCTTGAAAGCATCTTAGTAAAATTGTATTTAACTCCTGACATCTGCCTCGGTCTTTTTCTGCTAAATGAGTTAAACGTGATACTTTTTGCAGACCGAAGTGTTTTGTCTGCAGCAGCTTTGCTGAACGAACCATCTGGAGGTTTGAGACACTAAAGAGTCGGTTCTGTGCATGAACTTTGATACCTGTGCATAGTTCTCAGGACGCGTCAGGAGCGGCAGCTCGTACGCAGTCGTGAAATGTGTTCGGACCTGCTGCATCTGACCGAAGCGTTCCCTCTTTCTCCATTTGGCTCTCCGGTTCTGGAACCAAACCTGCAACGTGAAAAGAAGCAGATGTCAGAAAGCAAAAGCAGCTGACTGTCTGTCAGTCTGCACCAACTGAGCTCAAAGAAGGAAAAACTAACCTAAATCTATGTTTTAAATGTAAATAGGATTTTAAAGTATTGTAACTTTACAGACTTTTTACTTTTTGATGCTTACAAAAAAGAGTACCTTTTATGCCATCCATGCTTATTTGTCCAGAGCATCTTTGTTCTCTTCTGTTATCATCTCGGACTGACGTCGCTTGTGACTTTGAGTTACTCAGAATGTGAAACGTGCGGACACAGATTTTTGTTTTGGTGAGTTTCACGTGTAATTCGCCTCGTTTGTCGGTGAAACTGAGCAGATTTGTTTTCAGCTCTTGTTGCTGATGCCACCACTTTTACCTAATCTGGGCACAAAGTATGCAAGAATAAATATTTCTGTGTGATGCGTGTCAGACAAGCTTGACTGACGGGGCAGAGGAGGAAATTGAAAAGTGTGATGTGATTATTACTGGGGTTTGTTTGGAGTTTCTCTTTTAATTTCCTGAAGCCTGAATCTTCTGGCTTTGAGACTCTTGTTTAGCTCCAAGTTAAAATAGCACAGAGGCTCAGGAGCAATTCTTTCCTTGATGTTTTATACATTTTATTTTTCACTCAGGCTGTAAAATCTAAATATATGATGCCTTGCCTGTAATAATGTCTTTATTATGCAATAAAATGTGTTTGTCAGGTGTTTGCCAGCATCACCCAGCAGCTTTCATCATCTCTGCCTCTGCCCTGTGCCCAGTCTGTTGGCCATTACGCAGGAATAACATGTTTTTGGGTTGCACATACTGCGTCGTGACAGTAATTGGTAAAGACCTTGACAGCTTAAGTAGCTGGTCGACTTTCAATGAGGCTTTATTTATGTTTGGGCCCCAGAGAGAAAAGGCAGAGAAATGCCAAAGCGGCCCCAGCAGGAGAGCGGCGCGGGGCCGAGAACACTTTGAAACGAGAGAGCGGCTCCGAGGATTGATAGCCCGTCTCTGCTGTCACTCATTTCAAACTCCAAACTGAGTTTAAGAAGAAAATCCACGACTAAGCCTGGACCCCTCATGAAACCGCTCAGCAGTGTTTACGTTCAGAACGTGCACGTTGATCTGTTCACCCTCACAATCCTTCACGCTTTAATGTTCTCTAGGCCACGTTAAAGAACGTGCAGGACACGACAAGTTTTATACAAGTTTGTTTCCTGTTCGACCTGCACTACTTAAAAACCTTTGATAAGAAGTTCCGCAAATTTAGCCATTTTCTTAACGTTTATTCAAAGTTCAAGGTTCTTTATCGTCATTCGCGTGTGGCACAGGAGGTGGAACGAAGTTGTGCACACAGATCATCCAACAACAGCAAAAATATAAAATGCAAAAGAAAAACAGTAAATAAAGATCTAAGATATAAACTAAGAATACGCTCAACACTAACGGTGCTAAAAATACAACAGCAGCACGAACACGAGTCTGTGTGAGCAGGTGAGTCAGCAGCATGAAATAATCAGCAGCATGAAATAATCAGCAGCACATATCAACAAGTGGCATTACATAGATTTTTTTCACAGTGATGATCCTGGTTAGAGATTCATGAGTAACAGCCTCAGGGTAGAAGCTGTTCCTCAGTCTAGTGGTTCTACACTTAATGCTCCTCAACCTCCTCCTGAGGGGGCGGGGCACAAAGTGTGTGCTGGGTGAGCGTGGTCCTTTTTAAATGAGACGTCAGAAAATCCAGTAACAGCAAAATGAAGTTACATTTTTTAATAAATGAATGAACAAATAAAAGTTGACTCATAAAGTGTTCATTTTAAAAGGACTTTGTGGTGAAAATGTTTAAGAAAACTTTTTAATTCTTTTGTAGACGTGACTGATGATTTTCTTTCAGACCCGCTCACAATAATTTTGCTCCAGTTGCTCCTGACGTCCTCTCACTTTGACAAATAGCTTCACATAAAAACCAAGTGCAGACACTTTATTACTTTTCTGTGCTCCTGAAAAGGTGTTTGTCTCTCAGCGGTCACATCAGGGTTTCACATGCACGCGCACGTGGACAGCTGTGTTTCCCCACATCAGATGCCATCTTGACTCTCTGGACTATCAGAGGCGCAGATCTGAGCGATGTAATGCTACTGAAACCCTCGACCCTTGACCCCTGACCTTCATGTGTAGTGTATATGACTCAGGTCTGGATTCAGCCTCTTCCTTTGAAACCACGAGCCTGAAAAAATAAACTCTTCTGGGCGCTGCTCTTGTTTAACTGGAAGCTCCCTCTTTGCGTGTGTTCAGGAACCATCAAGTGAAGACTCCGTTAGTAACTAAACAGAAATCTGTATGTTTTCATCAGCTGCTCAGCCTTTTACATTTCTTCCCCCAGATGCCGAGCCGATGAGCTGTGAGTCCGTCCCTTTGCGTGTGAATGACCGGAGTAAAACACCGAACCCGTTTTCTGACTGACAAGGCATTTTGTGTCTTTTATCTTTTTAACTCGAGTGTTTAAGAGGCTGTAAAGCTGCATCCATGTGAAGCAGGCAGGTCTGAGATAGCACGCACAGAGCGGCATACCTTCAGAGACGGGCTTGAGTTATAACTGTGGCTGAGCACTTCCTGTGTTTTCTCTGGGCCAGCTCGTCATGTTGAATGGTTTTGATCGATCTCTCCTCCCATCCTCACTGATGCACATAAAAAATAACTAATTTATTGGTTCAAAAACACAAAGTTGTTTTTAATTTATTGGTTGTTTTGGCAAACAAAAGTAAATGAACCTGATACATCTGCCACCCAGCCAATCAAAAGCAACGGAAAAGCTTTCACACCTACTGGAGACCACAGCAGGGACACATTCTTGTCTGAACAGGATGTTAATGAAAGAAAAACACAGAGAATCCGGGGCTTTGGTCTTCATCCACACGCAGGACACAACCATGCTGCAGAAACGGTGGAGGCCTTTTCCTCTGCGCTCTTATGTTGGAATGCACTTCAGCAGTCATGATCGGTTTTTAATGCAAACGTAGCCCAAAGGTCAGCAGGACTGCGCTTTAGACAGAAATGAGCTCAAAACCTTTTGAACTTCAAAAAAGATGAACTTGGAGAAGAAGAAGAAAGTTGCAGCGGTCGTATGTCGATGAAAGTCTGTTCTCTTTACGCTGCACATATGAGGCCCAGGCAGCTCAAACCTCAGCTCCCCTGAGCCCCCTGGGCCCCCTGGCCTCTGGAAGCTCCCACTCCCCCACCCCGTCGACTCCCACATTTCCAGATCCATCTCTCCTGTTGTTCTGTGAGTGACTTTATCTCTGCAGGGCTGCAGATGCTGCGGGAGCTCCAGTTGTTTCAACCCTGTTCAGCTCTGACGAACCTTTTATTAACACCACAGTTCATGCTCAGTAATTCAGGTAAAACTCCAACAACGACCTGACTGAACGTTGTTGGACCTTTTATTAAGAGTATTCATTGTACAGAGACGAGGATCGGTTGGGGGACCGTACCCCACTAGAGTAAAATGAGAATTTAATGCTATTTCTGTTTGTTTTAAAGCACTAAATTGTTCCAACTAGTTGTTACCTGCACGCGTGCTTCAGTCAGGTCCGTCCTCAGAGCCAGCTGCTCCCGGGCGTAAACATCGGGATAGTGCGTCTTTTGGAAAACTTTCTCCAGCTCTTCCAGCTGGTAGCTTGTGAAGGTGGTGCGGTTGCGTCTCTTTTTGCCCTTGTTGCTTTCGACGCTCTCAGTTTTGTCCAGCGAGCTCGTTAAGTCATCGCCTGGTGACCTGTCAGAGGCGGCCTTCACACCTGGATCCTTTCCTGTCAGGTATCTGGAGTCCATGCCACGTGGATCTGAATCTGGGGCCAAATCAGAGTCCGTCAGACCTGAACTGTCTTTACCTGCAACGAGAGGATAAAATGATTTAAAATAGATTTAGTGTTACAGTGCAATCAAACGATAAAAGAAAGTTTCTACAAGAAAAACCGTTTTACCTCATTTACACAGGAAACTTATATAATGTATCCCGTTAGCATTAGCTTAGTGTTAGCTGAACTTCAAAAGATTTTCCTTTTACGAGTGACCTGGTAGTCCAGTGAGACCAGTAAAAGTTCAGCTGACGTCCAACCAGCTGAACTTTTACTGAACATATTCACTGCTCTTTTTCGTACTTCCTGCTTCTTTATTATTACTTTTAGCAAAAATAAAATACCAAAAAGGCTGGCTTAATGTTGGTTTTAGTGCTTTCTTTAAGGCTTTCAAACTATTCTTGCTTTATTTGTCTTGACTATATAACTCCAAAGAAGATCTTAATAAATTGAAAAAGACCTAAATAAAACAAAGTGCTGCTTTTGGATCAGAAGTCCTCTCAGAAGCGTTTTTATTCTAAGGGCATGTATCATGTTTCATTTGATTAGTTTGGTCCAAAGGCAAACAGCGAGAAGTAAACTCTGAGCCTAACCCCGGATTAAACGACGTCATCGGCCTCTGCCATGTGCAGTCAAAGCTGATGATTTCTTTGTAGCATCAGTTTTATAATTTATGAGCTTTGACGGGGCGGAACAAAACAGTTCTCGCTCTGTATGATGAAATGCTGTTGTGAAATTTGTTGACGAGCAGTGGAGACGTGTGGGTTCCTGGATCTTTCTGTGATGTGTTGGGAAACAAACACAGGGACTGAAATGGGCAGATTTTCTTTCTACGACACCCCGTTTATTAACCGCCATAAACAAACACATAAACACCACTCTTCCTCTCTCCGGTGTTTAGATGCTGTTTATGAGCCCCTCGTGTTTGTCAGAGGTCTAGAAGTGACCCGGCAGCAGGATCGGCACAGTTCAATGACTGTTGAGAAATCTTCAGTCAGCCAAAGCAGATAAAAATCTATTTTTCTTTTTGTTTAATCACACACATACTGAGTTTCTTCATGGCTGCAATAAATCTCATAATTTTCCACAATGTGTGTCTGCCAGTTTTTTGGTCTG